ATAACTTGGATTCCAGCTTAAAACAGAAAAACAGTTTGTAAAACCTAATTATAAATGAAGTCAAATGATTGTTCTGTATTTGCAGTCCGAGGTCTGCTGAGGTGACTCGGTATACAAATAAAGTTTATGCGGTTTGCTGAACAGCTGGCGCGTCCATAAAGAGGAGCCGGGTTTCTTGCGTCAGCTCTCCGTGTTTGTGAGCGTGCAGGCGGAGGTCCATCTGAAATAAAGCGTGGCTTTATTTCCCCAGGCTCTTTCTGCTCCGCTCAACATGCGCACACATAATCAATACTGATGCATGTGTCCACTTGCACTTGGAACAGGGTCGGTGTCCTTGAAAACCTCATTGATGTGTGGCTCTCAACATCAATTTTTTTGGCCACCCTCATTTCATTCACATACTTCCTATAAACTATTCTTCCTAATCAACTGTTATTCATCAGATATTCACAGAATTTAAATTAGGTTATTTAGTTTTTAAAAGCTGCTTAAAAGTACCCCTTGAACTCACTTTTTAATTTGCCTAATAGATTAAGACAAAGTAGTGTTTAACTGTGATGTGAAAGTAATATTTAATAATACTTTCTTGCCTTACAAAGTCAATACTTTGTCAATACAAAACCACTGACTTAGAAAGGCCCTTGGGTTAAGTTGGAGGGTTATTGCATAGACAGGGTGCTGCACTACCAGCTGTTTATTCACCCACAGGTAGAAAAACAGGCTAAAAACCTGCTTAGCAGGTCAAATTAGACTTCAGTGGCATCTTGCAATGAATTTAGCATCCAGATGTTTAAAACCTTCATCCTAAAATGAACAGTGTATAAACTAGAACTAATGCAAAAACACACAGATTTAAATTTATAACATTAAAACATAAAGCGCATGTACATTCTTCTTTAGCAATGCTAATGCTAATGCAAAGCTTGCTCAGAGAAACACACTGCAGAGGAAAAAGCCAAGATAAGTCATCACCACACAGTTAATACCACATTACATCTTCAAACATCAATTTACTTCAGAGATTATTTGTGAAAGCATCATTTGCTGTGACCACAAATGGCATCAATGAAATACTTCAGTCTGTGTCTAAACTAGTTTCAATATAGCAATGAAGAACTTCAGCTGAAATGAGTCATCGTTATCAACTTTGCATAAATACTTAAGTTTTTCACATTATAAAAAAGGAAAATGGATATAAGTATGGATTTTTACTGTGGCTGGTGGCAAACTGCCAATGGATTCTTCTGCCACTCCTCCATTGAGGATAGATTTGCTGAGTTTAAAATTGTCAGTGGATTGTTAGACTGTTGATCTGTGCAGACCCTCCACTAATTTTACCTCCAAATTACTGCTTCTGTTCAAAGATCAATTGAATAGCGGTTTCAGTTTTTTTTAACCCATTCTGCTCAAAATGCTGCACAATTTAAAATTATTGAGGTCATAGATTATTAAGAGTGTGTTTTTATGGGTATTTATGGGTATCAGATTGTTAGATAATCACAGCTTTAATATCTACAGGTCCTTCTCAAAATATTAGCATGTTGTGATAAGGTTAATTATTTTTCATAATGTAAAGATAAAACTTGAACATAATAATAATTTAGATTCATTGCACACTAACTGAAATATTTCAGGTCTTTTATGGTCTTAATATGGATGATTTTGGCATACAGCTCATGACAACCCAAAATTCCTATTTCACAAAATTAGCATATTTCATCCAACCAATAAAAGGAGTGTTTTTAATGCAAAAGATGCTGCAAATGCAAAAGTTTTCAAACTTCTGTAGATTACATGTAAAAATAGGTTTGTTTAATTCTACTGCATTAAAGCAGGAACTATCTCCATCATACATGAGGACAAGTCCCTGATTCCTGTATTTCTAAGAACTAAACCTCATAGCAAGATTGACACAAATACATCTAGAAAATATTTTTTGAAAAGATATTTTCTTGTGTTTTTTTTCCGTCGTGTTAGGAAGGCATCAAAGAAAGTGACTGCATCTTTAATAGCAACCTACAGTGGTGGATTAAAGGGTACATTTCCTGTACTCGTATAGCGCTTTATGTTGGAGCCACGGCTTCCCTGGAGCAGACTCATAGAAGTGAGGCTGCCATACATTGACCCCACTGGACCCTCTTAACAAGCAATTGTTTAACTCAAACCCTGGGGTCAGCACAAAAGGAGAAAGGAAAGGTCAAGGTTGACTGGCCTCATCAGGCAGGGAGAACCCAGACATGCCACCAAAGAGCTGCACTGTAGAAAGCTAAACTCTAATTGAAATAATAGTATGTTAGGGAGGAAAAAAAAAGATTGTTTCTGGATATATATTTTTATGTGTTTGGCAATTTCAGTAAATTCAACCTAAAGAGCAAGGTTTAAAAAAACTCCATGTTAACTACATGCCGTTTTGTTTGGTGTCTCAGAAATTTTACAAAAATACTAATTCATTCCCAGCTTTTCTTTTCTTACCTTTTTCTCAAAAGATGCTTTAAAGTGGTCCTCCAGAACAGTGCAGGTTGTGAGGATGAAACGATGATGTACGTTTTATGGTGCACTGCCGTAGAATTTTAAAAAATAGACTGGGTCTAGGAAAATCTGCCATCCATTTTTGCCAGTAAGATGTTCTGGAGAAGGATGAAAAGTCTTATAGAATATGGAAAAGGAGGGCTGTTAAGGTAAAGTTTAGTTTTCAAAGGATGATTTAAAAAATGTGCTAATCAATGCGATCAGACATTTAGAACCTAAGTAACAAGCTTTGCCTATCCAGAGAGAAATTTAAGGCACACTTTGTCTTATAAATCAGCTTGTGTTCTAAATAAACAAGACAAGATTAAAGTCAAATATTACAAAGAAGATTCAGTATGGGAATGGAAATGTGATTCCACCCTGTGGAACCTATATCTGAATATGGTGAATAGGATGATTTATCATCTACATTAATGGGAACGTTTGAGATGAATGTGATTATAAGCAATACTGAGTTAAGCCTGGAGGCTAAAATGATTTCTACAGTAAAAATCTGAGTTAAAGTGACTTAAACTGTTATTTCCTTGTAACTGTAATGAAACCATCAGATATGATCATCCAACACTGTTTATTCAGAGGTCCTTGATTAAAATTTGACAGGTTAGTCTTGAGATACAGTTGAATTGTTTTTGTTGACAGTTATTATGACGAACGCTGGCACAGCACTGATGTTCAGAGACGGCTCGCCGAAAACACCAGGAAGTGTGGAAAACATTTGGAAACAGGAAGTACAACTTAGAAACGGAAACTAGGGACAACAAAGCTACTCCAAAGCAAACACAACATTCAGGGCTGCAAAAGATCATGAGCTTTACTTTAGGACTTTTACTGTTGCTGGTAGATTTGCTTTACTTGCTCTTCGTGTTAAAACCACAGAAACAAACTGATGGGCTTTCAATTTCCTATTTGTCTTACTTTTTCTCAGACAAAGATGGTTTAGATAAGGTAGAATAGCATTTTTGAAGTGAATTAGTAATAAAAAAAAAAAAAAAAGCACCAAATTTGAAGTGTTTTTAACTTTCAGTTCTGGAAAAAATCCTGTTATAACAAATTTAACAGCATATGTTTTATACGGTATTTAGTAAACATTCATTTTAGCTTCATCTTCAGTTATATTCATCATACATTATTTGGAAACCTCTGTGAGTTCTTCAAATGAAGATATTTAAAAATAACAGACAGGAACAAAAATTGATGCAAAATGGAACAACAAAAAATAATGCTAATGTTTACCAGGTAAAATAAGTGATATAATGCTTTATTTACTGAAATGTGGAAAAAAAATTAAACACAAATTTGATTTCATGATAAAACATGTGTACGGTAACTTTGGGAGTTTCTGTTTAATAGGAAATAAACTGGATTGGATTTGCTGCTGGTTCAGCCTTATATTCACTTATGCAGGAAACAAACACCCAAAATCAAAAACTAAAGAAAATGTTCAAAACAAAACATAAATAAACAAAAAAAACAATCAATTTCTTTACACCTAGTTTAAATAAGATGGAAAGATTAACTACTAAAACAAAAGCTAATATATGCTTTATACAGAAAAACTGTGACGAGGTCGGTGAGGTGTTCTTGGGCATGACATCCAGGTTGCTTTAATATAAAATGGAGAAAATTTAACATGAGGTTTCAGGTATTAAAAGTTGAGGTTTTTCTTTTAAAAGCTGCACTGTATCATTGCTCTGTTGCTTTAGCTGCGGTGACTAGGATGGTGTGATCTTATCAGAATTGCTCTATATATATATTATGGTTTCATAATGACGGTAAAGATTATTGATTCTATAGGTCTTAATGGTGGGATTCTCATGGTAATATGGTGCTGTTACACAGAGTGTGGGAAGTTAAGAACATAAAGGAACCTATTGAGAATAAAAGAGTCCTACGCTTAAGAGCAATGCATATTTTCCATCTAGTATTGACACACTGGAGTGTGAGATTATAAACCTGCTCAGTTTGTCATAATCAGACCCTTTTTGCAGATTTCCATGCAGGATAACACTTTGGAAATATTCCTGGGTGTCTTAATGATTTTTATCCAACATGAGCTTTTTTATTTGCGGCAAAATAAAAAGTTAAATCAAAACTTTTATTTTGGACTCTACAGTAATCATGTTCTAAGTATTTAATCTTTCAGTCCCTCAATGGAGATCTGTAAAGGAAGATCAAATCCTGATGGAGTCAGAAAATATCAAGGCAGAGATACAACATTGTGGATTGTTTTAGGCAGTCTACTGTTACTAGCTTTAAGCAGACAAAGTGGAGTAGTTATTTTGTCTTTGACTGCTGTTTACTGTAGGTAGGATGTACGTTTTGAAGATCTCAGAATCGCAAACTGAAAATCAGCAAGAGATTTTCAGATAGAAGAGGCTTACAGCTACTTGAAGCAGAAACCAAATGTCTTTGCAGTTGGACTAAATGGTCAGTTTCTTTTCTTGATTACATGTATATTTTCTATACCTGCCATATGCATGTTGTGATGCATAATGAGAGTATGGCGGGTTTAAATTAGCATTAGAATATCAACTGCGACTTTCTGCTTTTGCGCTTTAAATTTTAAACATCTAAAGAAAGTTAACTAATGAATGGAAGAACAGGGAGAGTATTTCTACACAATGGGTCATTTTAATAACTGTGTTGACCTGAGCAAACTTTTTTTGTACCCTATTGTTCACAGAGTAATGGCTATACAAATGACTCTAGATGTTTTCCTAAGGTAAACATGGCTTTCTATCCTGATGGACATGTAAATGACTCATATTATTCTTTATTTTTTTCAAACATTTTCCAATGAAAACATACAAAAGTTCATTATTAGGTAGGTTTACATCACTTAAGTTATTTAGACATTAATAAAAACTGACAAGGGATGATGTCCTAATTCACAAGTGCAGCCATGATATTGTTAGTATTTTGAGAACAAATTCCAAACATTATTAGATTTATTATATGCTAGAAGAGCTAAAATAATTTCTGGTTATTTCCCAACTCCACAGGAAATACTGTACTAAACATGCATTCAGATAATTGAACATTTAAGTTCAAATACGTTTGTTTTTGTTAACTTCTGTGGAGTCCTTTACAATAGCTACAAAACATTTGCACCCTTATCGTGTATAAAACAAAGCTGGCTCATGGCTAAAAGGGAGACTGATACAGAAAGTGAGAAATGAATAAGTGACACAACTCTAATCAGTGATTAAACTAATAATAGTAAAAACAATTACATGCAATGTCTGTTAGCCTCTTACTGTTAATTGTGCTAAATGGAAAACTTGCACATTAATAAGCTATTTAAGGTCCTGCTCACACTTGTCATAGACTGTGTTATTTGAAATGCTGAAGGGAACTGAGATTTTTTTTAAAGATGAGTTTTAGTTGTCAGTGTGCAATTTCATAAATCACTGTTCAGTTGCAATCATGACTGCTACCAGCAACACATTTATTTCACATTTTGAGTATGCTATTAAATATATATCTTTAATAAGGCTTTAGATAATAATCCAAACACAAACAATAAGTAAAGCCATGTGGATGATAATTGAAATTATTCTAATGTGTCTTGGCAAACATGTTAGTTTTTTTATATTTCCGAAAATCAAAATCAATCAACACCTCTAGTTCAGGATAATTGTTCAGCCAGCCTTCCGTTAGACACATTTGGTGTGTCCTACTGTGTTCAAACTCAACATTAAATCCTAACAAGTTATTAACATTACTGCTAATATTTTTGCATTTAAATCCACATATAGCATAGGTATTTTTCCACCTTACATATGAAGTAAAATAAATGTTTGAAAAAGGAAAGGGTATTGTCAGACGTCTTCATGTGAAAGAAATCAAATGGGGCACGTTGTCTGCTGGACGTTTTAGCTGCTACAGTGTAAAAGGTAAACATAGCAACCAATTTAAGTTTTGAGGAACACATCGACAGCATCAACTGTTAAAGAATGAGAAGATGAAGTTACACAGATTCTAGTTTATGAGTAAACAACACACAAAGAAATGCAATTTAAATATTTGCAATCAAAGCTATTTAGTAATATATTTGGCCATCCTTTCAGAAAAATTTTATATCCCACTAAAGGGCTAGTCTGTCACAAAAAATTTTACTCCTGACCGCAGCTATAATGGATTAGGTACTTTAAGTAAATATAGAACATAAGGGGGGATTTATTTTGAGAGAATAATAATTAACATTTTTAAATAAAAAGTAAAACAAAAACAAATAGATAAAATAGTTTCCTTCAGAGTGAAATCCTTTGTTTTTCAGTGAATGCATCCAAAATCAAGGTGATCAGCAGGTGTTGAAAGCTGCCTGTGGATTCCTACCAGCAACAACTGATTTATTATGTTCACATATCTAAAATAAGTTAAATGGTTTTTGGGGTTTAAAATGAACTTTAAGCTTCAAGGTAAAGATAACTTTGGTAAAACTTGCCCTGAAAAAGAAGAGAAACTAAAGAAAGAAAGTACAACATCTTTCATGCAGCTGCTGGTTCAGATCGCTAAGACTGGACAACAACATGGATACATTCTCTCTCTGTCTTTAGCATCATTCTGTCTCCTCGTGTTCAAAGTTTTTTTAAGGAAAAGCCCTCTTCTTGACATATCCCACACAAATATAACCGTTTCTCCACAGATGTGTCCATAAAACTTTTACAAAATAAATCTCATATCCCCAAGTATACAATAATAAAATGATGCACTCTGCAGAAAAAAAGTCACAGGAAACTGTATATACACATAGTTTACTACCGTTTTGGCAGACAAGAACATAAACAAGTCCAGAATTGTAAACAGCTATTTACTCTCACTCTAAACATTTTTTGTTCCCACTCCTTAGTCCGTTACATTCACAGCTCAGGAAAAATTGTGCTTTAAAAAAATCCTTGCTACAATCCAAGGCCTTCTTTGTCATCTGGTCCACTAAATAGAAGTGCTCATCTATTAAGTCAGTCTGGAAGAGGCGGGGGCTGGTGGTCCATTCGGCTGTCCTGCTTCATCCAGGAGGGGAAACAGGAGCATCATAAAGCAGTTCAATTTGGCTGCGATTGGGAACTTTGACAGGTCACATGATCTATTTCTGTTCTCCTGATCTGACAAAATGTAAATAAATGTTTAGGAGACGGATCCTTCATTCTTGAATTGCTTCATTTGTCTAAGAAGTCTTAACTGTGCTTTTGGTTGAGAAAAGTCCATGATGGAGGCTGGAGATTGACGACTTAGAGATTCAGAAAGAAAACAGTTTAGAAGGGATTCTAGGGAGAGCAGCTGCTGCTGAAGTCTTCAGTTTTCCTCGTCTGTAAGCTCCTCCTCCCCTGTGGCCTTTTCAGGAATGGCCTCCAGGCTGCGCCGGCTCTTGGAGTCTGAGGAGCCGGAGGACCTGCTCACTGCTCCTCCTTTGCTCAGGTTACAGGTAAGCGCTGAGTAGTGGATTTGCTTAAGGTTTTCTTGGACTTCACTTCTGGCATGTTTTAATAAGTCAGCTTGACCCTGAGGGTACAGATCAGAGCGATTATAGCAAGACAGGAGGAGAATCATTCACATCAAAAAATCATGCAAATGACTCTGAAATTAAGAGAAATCTGAAACTAAATGTCAGAAATTACAGGTGATATGTATAGGTTATCATTAGGCAAGGTATTGTATTAATTAATACAACCTTAAAACCAAAATCTTTTATTGCAGAGATAAGAATCCCATCGTAGAAGAATTTCATTTCTTTCTACTCTCACTGGTCATCGTCTTGCAATAAGCTAAAAATTGTGCTATATAAGCACTGCCAGGTCATGCTAACCAGAATAATCTGGTGGGCCTCGTTAACCACAAAGGGAGGTTTCTTCTGACCTGAAGTTGTTTCTTTTTATAATCAGTCAAGGGTTTAAAATTAAAGTCAGGTGGAAAAGCATTTTCTCCACATAAGTCGACGGTTCATTCAGGCTGCAACATCAGGGAGGTAGATGTCAGCACATTGCAGGAATCTAAAGCTGCAACTGCAATGATGCTTAGTTTTATCATTTTGAAATATGTGACATATTGTCATAAAACATCTGGAGTTAGGATAGGCTGGCATTCATGAGGAAAAATAACACAGCTAAGGTTTAGGAGTATTTACTCTCAATGATAAAAGAAGAAAACAGCATATGGCACAACTGGTCCTTCCAAATGACACCACGCATTTTATAAGTAATAGTTTAGGTAATAACTACTGTATGTCGGTGCCTGTTTTTGTGTCTGTTTTTGAAAATGTATACAACCGAAACTTTATTATTTTTCCAGCCGATTCAAAAAATTAAGTCAGAAATTTCCTTCAGTTTCTATTGCCTCTAACAAAAGAAGACAACTGGCCAATAAGTGCTTTGGGTTTCTGTTGGACCATCACAATCTCTCCATCACTACAAAATCTACATTAGGTGAAGAAATCAAAGTCAGAAGGAGCTAACCAGACTGGCCAACCAACAGGCTTTTTCTGGCAGATATAGGTTTCTATTTGAAGTCTGCTGTTTGGATTTTAACTTGTTTTAGCCCCACCTTTTGACCAAAACACCATAAAAGACCAAAAATTGTGCTGCAGCAGATGACGCATTGAGGAACTTATCCCATTTACGAATCTAACATAATTACAGTTTTTCTAAATGAAAGAAGTGTTAGGTTAAATGTTATGTTAAGGATGTCAAAGATTCTCACCTTCAAAATGGTGATGTTCCATGTGAAGCTCTCCACGGCCTTATGCAGCTTCCTGCCCTTTAACCCTTCCTTCACAGCCAGATCATGCAGGTTTTCATGGAACTCCATTGCTGAGAGAGAAGATAAATAAAAGGATTAGGACAGCTTCATTGAAAGAGGCTAGGAGGTGACTGGAGTCTAGGATCTGAGACTAGAGACCAGGCTTGTTTTTACTGTGAGGAAACCCATCTGAGCAAAGATGACGGTTAAAACTGTTTTAAGCAGCAGAGAGGTGCAGTAATTGTCTGTAGGAGGATTACTGCACTAAAGATAAAACAACAAAAAAATCTTCTGTATTCAAATGAAAGGTAACTTGTAGTACGTGAGAAGCAGTTTTGTTAATAATGTTAATGTCATATTTTGCTAAATCTTATAGTATTTTTCATAAACACAATTGTCAGAAAGTGCATTATAAACAAACATACTGGCAAAGCGTATATAACGAAAGCTAAATGGATGACACACAAATGACACTATTTTCAAGTGGCTTAGCATCTCAGCTTCCAACATTTGTCACCTGAGGGGCTACTTCAACATGAGACATGTCCTTAAGTGAGGACATGTTTCATGTAGCGTCTGCAGGAACAGGAACCCCACACCCCAGAGGATATGCAACACAAATCACAGAACTGTGACAGGCTTCTGCACGGAAACTCCTTCAGAGAACACAGACATTTCCGCTCAGGGCGGCTCGAAGACCCTGTCTGCATTGTTGCCATGGAAACATGCACCAGAGGAGGGGTGGTGAAGAAAAACCCCTTCATGAGGAATCACCATGCAGACACTGAGGATTAAAAGTTTAGGTTTCTGACCTCACATGATTTTCTGCCATCTCAGAAAAATCACCATATGCTGCTCACATCGTGAATGTATGAAAACTGCTCTAAGCATGCAAATATCTTCATTTTCAGTTTCAGCTTTACAACTTTAAATGCAGCAGCTGCTGCTGCGCACATGAGCCGTGACTGTCATAAGGAAGGTGCAGCGCTTCCTCTGGTTCTCTCTGACACAAACACACATGCAGACACACACAGCAGGGGCTGCCTAGCAACACTGTATGGAGTCTGGCGGAGAGGAAAAGGGGAAGCTTTCCCTTAGCAAAGCATAAGGAACTGGTGCAGGATAAGGGCTATACAGTAAGGGATTCTCATACTGAAAGATGACTCCACAATAATGTGCATCTCAGAGAATGACCCACATTCTTTTAAAATTAATTACAAATTCATCAATAGATGACTGAGCTGACACTGACGGATGGAGCTAAATTAGACGGACATATGAAAAGAAAAAGAAAGCACAGATAACTGAAGATGGCTTTCAGAGGGGAAGCCGTCATTCCCCCAGATGAGGAACTGTCAGCATGTTTTCCATAACAGTAAAATAATTAATAGTAACAGTAGCTGCCCTTTACAGCTAAATGAGGTTCAAAATGACATAAAAACTTCCCAAAATGCTTTGAAAACTGAGACAACAAAACCTTTTTTTTTTTTTCATAAAAAACATCTGTAGCACCTAAAGAACAAAGGGAAAGGGATCTTTATTCAAAGGCTGCTTGATTATAGAGCAGAGATTATAGCTATTATTTAGGCCATTAATAAAATCTGGATTATTTCAATCAAAAATGTATTATATTATTGTATTTATCATATTATTATTATATTATGCTGATTATATCATTTTTTTAATTTTAGTTTGGAATAACAGAGCATCTATTGCCTTGAACATTATTTTTACCTCATAATTTTTTTTTTCTTTTAAATAATTGTAAAGGCGTATATTTAAAATACCCCCCCAAAAAAAGAAAAAAACAACAAAGAAAAAAAAAACACAACAAAAATGGGACTAATCAAGAGACCTTACAAAATTAGAGCATCTTTGCAAAGCATAATACCAACCAGAATTTTTTTTTTTATTAAAACAATTGTTTGATCATCTATTGTTTTTGGGATAATTTTAAGTCAAAATGTAAATCAAACCATTAAATGTAATTAACTTTAAAGCCATACTTTGAATTATCCATGAAGAAGAATTTAAGTTTAGTTTTAAACATATTTGAATGTTTGAACAGGAAATATTTCAGCTGTGATAATCTGAAGGATAAAACTAAAAACCTTTGGATTCTTAAAGGAAAATTTGTTGTAAAATGGGGAGTTTTTTCTCCATAAAATAGATAGGGAACACCAAGATCGTCGCAATAAAAAAAATGTGGCCAGCAAGTTCATTTTGCAACGAAAATAAAAACAAAACACAAGACACAACACCCTTAAAACTCTTTACTTCTTTGAACAGGTAGATGCAGGTTAGCCAAGCAGGGAACCTCAGGAAATCAACTTGGAAACTCCTGACATTTTGTATAATGCTTAAAAATGTTTATAATCTTTTTCATTTCTTTACAGGACAGTTTTCCCTTCCAAAAATATTTAATTAATGGATGTATATGACAAGCAAGGTCTGGATTTGCTCAGATTCATATGGTGGTTTGAAATACTGCTAGCATGTGACAAATCCCAGATCCTCTATGTTTGGAATTTCAGACAGATGACCTAAACTTAAATCTTGTAAAACTGTTTGACTTATAATTAATTCTATATTATACCATCTAAAGGTGAATCATAAAGGGAAGAGAGTGTTAGAGATGGAGCAAGTTATCACTCTAATGCTATCTAAAGTAAAGATTCCAAAAGATTTAACTTTTATTAAGAAAAAAGTTCTGGCTGTGAAGATAGTTTTCAAATGCTTATTGCACAGATTATTGCAACTTTAGTGCAGTCCAGTTTTGAATTTTTAAGAATAATACTAACAAAACAAGCTGATAATTGCTGGTTAGTCAGTTTGGCGTTCTGCTCAGGAAGAGTAAAGCCCATAATGTGTTATACACCCACTAAAGCATTGGTCTCCATCTGGAATCAAAGAACAGCTGGGTTCTGCCATGGCACCTTTAGCTGAATCAAATGGTTAAACTACCTCACATGGATCTTCTAATCTCTATATTAAGTTAGGTGTGCTGCAGCACAGCCTTCTCATAAAGATTAAGGATCTGATGACATCTGTAGAAACCATAAGCATCAAATACATAGTATAGATTTAAATATTCATATATAAGTTCTAATTAAAATAAAAGAAGAAAGAAGGCTGTTGAACATAAACATAAATCTAACATTTCTATTAATCAAAAATTCAAAACCCAAGGTTAATGATAAGTCACCTTTATAAAAACCAAAGTATTACCAGACAACCGGCAAAGCTTTCCTGTTTGTCTCGAGGGTTTTATTGTTTTCATGGCCTTGAATGCTCTCCTTCTAGAGTCTATTGTTACAGGGCTTTAATGATGGGTGGTAAAGTGCATAGTAGCTATCATGCATGGATCTGCTCAAAGCAACCCTCTTCCTTGCTGCAAGGTGGAAAACCTACTTGAAGAGTATTACCACCACTAAAGGGCTGGATAGAGAAATGGCACGTCTTACTCTAACTAATTGCAATGTGAACAAAAATGAATGTTTATGTGATTTGGAAATTGCAATTGTTTTGCAAATGCAACCCTAAAGTAGATTCTAACAGATAACAGAATACTAAAGAAGTGCTCTAGATCAGTTTAAGGTAATTGTTATACAGGATGTGTATATTATATATAAATATATATATATATGTTATATGAGAAATGTGCTGGACCAGCAAACAGGCCGTACCATGCAAATTAAATTGTAAAGGATCGGCATCTAAAAGCTAAGCCAGGTGGACAGAGTTCGAAACGGGTCAGAGCTTTTTTCAGAGCAAAAGTGGGATCAAAGCAGACTACAGAAGTGGTCAAAAGGCTGGACAATATTTCAATATCACTATATGTTACAACATGATTACATTCAATAATAGTTAATTGCCATTTAAACACATGTCCAGTACTTCAATATATGCTTTACTAATGTTTTTCATGTGCCCATGCGTTAGAAAATAGGTAGACCAAACCCAACATGACTTTAATTCAATTTCTGCCTTTGTATAACAGTCCTACCCAGATTCAGCTTTAATCCGTAGCAGCTGAGATCTGAGCAGAGCAGAAAAGGAGTTTGGATAACGTGTGTTTGATAAAAGGACACATCTGTGTTAGTGATATATGTCATGCTGCCGCTCTGCCCAGTGTATGGTGGTGCTGTCAGAAAAAAACTGACAGTATTTGTGATTGCCTTCGTTTATTTTCAGTGGGAGACAGTACAGAATGTTGTCTTTCTCTTAAACATCAGAGGCATAATGCAGGAAAAAACAGATCTTCCTGCAACAAATCCACCTCCTTCCTTAAGGCTTATTTCAAAAGGTGACACACTATTAAAAGCTGCTACTCGTGAGAGCAAATATTAATTTTCAAAGGACTCTGAAACTGCCTGGGATGTACAGTGTTTTTCTTTTTTCCTACATTTTACTTGTCTCAAATTTCTGCACTTAATACCCCATTATGACAACATGGAAAAGGTTGTTTTTTTTCCTGTATATACAATACATGCTAAGTTTAATCAAATTGGATGATAGACGTCTGTACACAGCAATTTTCAGATCTCCATAAAGCAATGGTTACATTTTCAGTCTGTGACCCCAGCATGACAAAAAGATATAGCAGAGACCCCTCAGGACTAAGAGGGTTTCAGAACTAATTTCAAGTTGAAGATATATCAAGATTTACACCCCAGATTTGAAATCCTAAAGCAAACTTACTACCTTGTGCCATCCTAGTGCAGGATTCCTCAATTCTCGTGCTTGAGTTCCAGGGGCCTGGGCCTTCTAGATATGTCCTCCTTCCTCCTAAGCATGAAGTCATGTTCTCTAGAGTCCATTGACCTCACTAGTGTCTAAGGTGTCCTGAAGCAGAGATAAGGTTCAGAACCCCCAACCTAAAAGACCACTGTGGGCCCACATTAAAGGTCTCTTGCAGAGAGGATCCAGGGCTTGCAGAGTGGTTTGTAACCAATCCTTTGCAATCCTTGCTCTCACCCAGGATGTCCGTTTATGGCTGCATTTTCCTGACAAGCTTGTCAGTTCCTGCTGCTGACAAATCTTCCCATAGCATGATGCTGCCCTCCCATGC